ACAATAGTCGAATATAAACAAGTCGGATATCGTGATAGGGCGGAAGTGAGATAGGAAAGTAGAGAAAGATGGTCAGAAAGATGATGGCAGAACCGTTCGGAAGAAAGTTGATCAAAGGATTTACTTCACTACTAGCTGAAGCTTTGAGCTAAGACTGGTACGACTCAATAACGATGACGGCAAAACGTCCGGGAATATGCTAAGTCCAGGTCCAGCGCCGGAAATTATCATAACCAGTATAGCAGATGTCTTCGGGCAAGGTGCGTCCAACTAGATCGCCCTGACAATATGGCCAAGTTGCGAAAATGCGCTCGAACCACTTCTATACAAGACAGAGGCCACTATAGCTCGGTGTAAATAGCTCCTAAAGAGCAGACAATTGTTTCAACGAATTTTACTGTTATCTATTTTCAAAGAAACTGTTCTAATTTGGCTTTGACTACAACTTCAAATTTGCCTTATCGTGTCATAATAACTTCAAGATGGCTGGACGAAAGCTCGGCTCGTTTTCACCCGAAAGTAGGGAAGCGGTCTCGTGGACTGCGTCAATCTCAACGTCGTATAAAGGCCAAACGATTGCAGTACAGCGGGATTCAACCGTCCTTTTCTGGTCAGATCGACCTTCGAATCTCTTCTTCCTACACTTTTATACGAAATGAAAGTGCCAGCAATAATGTTATCTGAGGAGATTCACCAAAACCCAGTCGCTCTTCATATAAGAAGGCTGCAATTTTACAATAAGATTTCATATATATACTACCTAAAACATCGATTTTTAAGTAATAATAATACGAAAATTCCTACCACAGCAAATAATGCAAAGTATATTTAAATAGTGGCTTTGAAGAGTGTGTACAATGAAAAAATTAGCAATAAAAAATTGGTGGCTTTATTTACCAACTTAGTTATAAATAGGTCCTGCTGAGTCGGAGTATAAAACAAGTGAGTAGCGTGAACAAATGACCAGTAGTATTATACTACCGTCATTTTTTCTTGCTGACCAAGGAAGGTCAGATGTAAACAGCTTGGAGTAATAAAAGCAGTAGTAAAAAGGCAAGTAGGTAAACGAATAACCACTCTAAACTACACACGGTGACCATTAATGACATCGGGAATGCAAAGGACAAAAAGCAAAAAACAATTCATGTCTGGTATAAAATATTCTTGTTAGGTTAATTTGTCCCTCCGTAGGCTTTGCCTTTTTCGTGTGTTGGAGCGTGTTTGGTCTTTTTATGAGAAACATGAATCCAGGACTAACCATGCAGCGTGCTTTATGGTTCGGCCAAGAAATGGTCTAAGAAAAGTCTTCTAATGCTTACAACTGTGTGGTCAGGGGGCTGTCCTAAATCCAGGGAGGAGCAGAAGGCACATGACGTCTGCTGGCTGTGGATCTTGCCAACGATATAGACATGAAGATCGGATGTAGCATGTGGCTTCAACGATGTGCTGAGCAAGACAACTCAACCATTGGTCAGCTCACGATGTGGACGCAGTATGAGGTGAGGCGACAGTGACCTGAACAAGCCAGCTCACGATGAACACGCAATCTATCCCACGAAGCCGGGATCCCGAAGAATGAGCATATCGATCGTGTCTTGCTGGAGGCGATTGGTCAAACGTGCCTGCGCATGAGTTTACTAAAGTCGCCCAGCCACCGATCTCTGCTAATGTGTACGTGTGCAGGTGATGATTGAACAAGAATCGCACAAACGAACAGAAAGAAGCCGACACACGCGGCCCACTATCGATCGATTTTATCTGAGCTAGGCCAACTTGAGGCTTTGATGGACGAACTGATTGCACGAAGAGAACGCGATTCACCATGGCTCACCGTTGGCTATTTTGTCTTTCAGATATTGACAGTCAGGCCTGTTCAGTTGGGAAGGCGAGGAGGCGTGACCGTCAACCTACAGTGGGTCTCAATTATAAACGATAATTGCTTCAAAGCCTTTGCTCCCTAGTCATCAGTTCAGGCGGGGTTCGAGTTTGTACCGTACCAGTGCATGGCAAACATGTAATTTATCTGTCACTGGATTTTCAGCTTAAAGGAAATTTGACATAGAGGGATTTGTAAATTGGCCTTGGCACACTGTTCTGCGAATCTATTCATTCAGAGCCAGAAACAATTCTCTAATGAAATTTAAAAAATATGAATATAATAACTTATTCGCAACATCTAACAACCATGATCGT